TGTTATATATATATATATATATATATATATATATATTAAAGAATCAATACTTGGATTCGATGTTTTGTAGGTCGTGCGCTTCCAGGGAAATTTTGTCTGGTCAGTTATATACTACTTACTATGAAATATGTGCATATATATATGATATTTGTTATGATGTTTTGGCATGATCATGGATCAGTGAAACCGATCTTTTTTGCCACTCGCTGCTCTATTTGAAATTCCTTCTTCACCGAAAAACCTAATGATTATTATTTTTCTTAATGTTATCCTTTTCATCAATTTCACTTTCATATTCCTGTTCAGGAGCGGTGTGCAATTCTGCGGAAATTCAAGGAGTACGATATTGATATCTTGTTATCCACGATAAACGGATGGCAAGGCATGGTAAGTTTGCTTCTCTCCCTTTACATACAAATTGATAAGCTGTCATAATTTTCTATTGGAATGTACTCAACGGAGTAATTTTCTCGTTGAATAAATGCATTGAAAGCCAGTTGCACGACATAATCAGGGGTGTTTTTACCAAGTCCCGTTTGCAGTAGATTACCGCATTACTTCCCCCCTCCCACCCAGATCGATCTGGACGTTGAATCCCTTTAGGCCAAAATGGTTTCCTCGTACCGCACGATGTACTTGCCGTTTGGAGGTTAAAAAATTGTTCATGGTTGTCCGCTTTATCAATTCCTTCGTTTCTGATGCTCGTGACCAAGCGCGGTTACTTACTTACTTTAATCCGGCTGACTCCTTGGAAATAATAAGGCGGCTCCATGATCATGATCATCAAGTTCCTTGGGAGGTTGATTCGGGAGGCGTCCCTAGCTTCACTCGGGTTTTTTATTTTGAGGGCGCACCTCTAGCCTTTGCACAACCAAGTGTGAACTGCACGGCAGCAGGGAGTAATCCCTCGAGTCGGAAGTGAGAGGGATCAATAACTTTAGTTTTAAGGGCCAGTCACATCGACCTTTGTCACGACACCGTCATTGGACCTATGCGACTTTTAAACAGGAGCCAGGTGATCAGCCAGAAATCCGCCACACCGTGGTAGTGCCGCCGCTGTTTGTTCGCGACTGCTTTTTTGTTGCGGTATGCCACAACTTATACACAGTTAACCTTCTTCGGTGAAGGTATCCCCCTATCCACAACCCGGGGACGCGCCTAGTAGCATTCATCTCTACTTAACCCGAGGGTATCCAACGTGGGTACCTGCTCCGGTGGTCCGTAACTCAGTCAAAATAAATTTGATACGAACCGAGCCTCATGAGAACCGGTTGGTTTAGAACTCGCATGTCCATTCTTTTATCTTGGAGCGCATTGTTCTCGTTGAAACAATATTATTCTATTGTTTTGTGATGACTTGTTGAGTAACTATACCTACATTGCAGTCGAAAAATGTGTTCACTGTTTCAATGTGATAAAACAATGAAAAAAGTCGTATACCACAATGATAATTTAAATAGACGCTTATCTTGTAGGTTTAAAATTAGTTCGTTTCGGATTTTTATCTTGTCAGTTAGAATGAGAGCCAAATACTGTACCGTTGAATTTCGATAAATGTTTATGCCCCGAGGGTAAGCAGCGACAATTGGATCGGGTTGTAGCGCGTGGGGACACGGCAAGCAGATCGGTCGGGATTGAGCGGATGGCGGGTGTCGTTAAGTATTTTTTTTGGAGTATGAAGTAATATGAAAACCACAGAATTTTGTGCTTAACGGAATAGGAGAAACACGACCGATAATTACCAAACTGCGACGAACGGTAATGAAATAAGTAGTCCGGGGAAAATAACGGGCGAACAATGAACTACGACAGGAAAAATGCATTTCAGACAAAAGACATAGTTTTCGCGCTTCACTCTAAATTGTCGTAGTTTGCGTATCTGGAAAGATAAGCAAGGGCCAGTACATGCATAGACCACCGAAGATTAGTGACTCTTAGGTATTTACTGGCACGTGTTCTGGTGATGCGTGCGGAATTCAGGTTTCAGGTTTCAAAGGATACTCGGATCGGGAAGGACTAAAAATGCATTCGAAGCACTTATAAGCATTCAATTGGAGACCGGATTGATTTGAGAATAATTGCACATGAACTAAACTGTCAGAAATATTTCTATTTCAGATGAATTTGAAATGGCATCAGCATATTTAAAGGTCTTGACTGGTGGGAGTGAAGGCAAGTCACTGATAAAAGTTGAAAGCAAGTATGGAGACAGCACAGAACCCTGAAGAACTACAGAACTATTCACTAAGGGTTTGGAAATAGTGCCGTTTGCTTTCGATTTTTGAATACTTCCTGTGAAATAGTCTCAACCACGACTGTAAAGTGGTGGAGCAACTGGATGACTGTAACTTTCAGAGAAGAGATTGTGGAACAGAAGCGGAAGCATAATCAAGGAAAAATACAACGAACGGATTTCCGAGAATCATCTGGAAATTTGAAAACAACGTGCATCAGTGAAGAGGAAGCATCCAGAGTGCATCTATTTGGCTTATATGCAAACAGAAATGGGGTCATTGAGAACAATAATACCAGACTGAAACGGATGAGAATAGCTCACTCGATTAGTTTAAGTTCAGAGGAAGTGATAACGATGGTACGAAAGCGTTTAGGTAAAATACTAGATGAAGATGATTTAGGAATGGGAACAATGGTGAAAGGTCTCCAGGAATCCGGGTATGAATATGTCTAAATCAATTTATTAATAATGGACGCGAAAAGCTCTCTAAGTGAATCAGCGCTCTGTTTGAGTAAAGACGAAGATGGACCATCTAGATTAACTGCACTCGTGATTTTTGTAGTTTTATGAGAATAATAGATCTCATGGGTGATAGAGTTTACGGTACATAGGCAATCTGTGGGGTATGGAAACAGTTATTTGAAGAATTGCCAAAGGCAGCATTAAGGTTGAGCATGTCAATAGTCGTCACTAGTGGTGATTGACGTGAGAAAATATTCAGATGGTTAGTAATGACCTTGTCCAATACAGCATCTGCTCTGGTGGATGTTCGAGAGAGAGAGAGAGTGATCTGTTAGATCGAATAAAAGTAAAGGTTGCGTCGATCCACGATTAAAATCACCAACAATTAAAATTAAATCATCCTCAACTAGGGAGCAATGAAAGTAGTAAATGCATCATAAAAAAGGATCTGATTTCGATTTGTGATAATGCAGCGATTGTTAATAATTGTGCNAGTCAATATCAGAGGATGTAAGAAAAGTCTCACCATCCACCAACTGCATTTAAAGTAAGTTATTACCCCGCCTCTGGTCTTCCTTTTGCTCCTTTCTCTGTCGTTTTGAAAATTCGCAGAAGTCCGGTATGTTTTGATTTAACCAGGATTCCTGTATGCCTACCACACACGTTTTTGCATGCACACGATAAGTTAGTAGTTTAGTGAGGTCAACCAATTTGCTAAACAGCAAGCGAATGTTGCAGGTGACCAATGAGAGAACAGTCATCTCCGCGGTAAGTGTTTGTGTACAACAACGGTCTGCCTGAGTTTCTTCTCCTAAGGTCCATTGTTTCACAGCTCAGACTTCAGTTGTGAATCCTCTTAAACATCCACAAACTACGGTTTGTTTGGCCCGGCAGAATGGTGCCCAAGAACTGGCCTAAGATTACCAATATCCTTGTATCCAGGTTTATTTGACGCGTTATGGATCCCGATAACCGGGAAATATACTAATAATCATCATCATCATAATAAAAATAAACTCACCATGCAGTTTGATTCTGTTTGAATTCGTTGGCTTTTGTTTGCATCATGTTGCTTCTCCCTTATTTGCCGTAATTCGACAGTTTTTTATATTATTACATTACTTAGTGTGATGAACAACAGACGGGGAAAGCCCCATAGTCACGAACACTTACTGTTCAGTGATGAAAACCGGTGACCTAAGCCCTGGGACTTGAAGTGGCGAACCACATAACGCCCCTCTAGGTTAGGACGACAGCAAACAGCAGTTTTCAGCATGACATTAAGTCAGGTTGACACACCTGTTCCGTCGAAATGATGCTTATTTGCTATCCGTTTCTTTTTGCGAAACGCACACAGACCTTATCACTCGCTGGGGTTGGGAACTGACTGAATGAAGCTGAACCTCACAAGATATTAGCACTACTGATAACTGATAACTGTCTGAAACGTTCGATCTGATTGAAAACTGTCTGTCAGTAACATACTTTTATTTTCTCATCACGTGGACTTGTCCAAAATGGTTTCAATTTTTCATGTATCGCGTTTCCTTTTTTGGCAACACACGTCTGACGCCAGACTGTGTGCCAAACAAATCATGGTACAATAATCTTTATAAAAAGAAAAACGTTTGATGATTTACATGTGGGCCGAATACTGCCAGGTTGCCCCCGGCCAAGGCAGGTGAATTTTCTTGAGGAATCCACAACCGGAATCTTCGGTTAGCCAAAGTCTGACCCGGGAGGCAGCGGGGCGATGTGAAGGCCGCAATCCATTGGAGGCCGGTGTTCAGCATACGCTCTTCGGACGGATTCGAACGTCCAAGGTGCCCAATACACCTGGATGCCTAATTGAGGAGACCGAGAAAGTGAAGTCACCCAGTCGCTTTATTCATCTCCGTGGGTGAAGAATATTCCGCAGCCACAACCACAATGCATCAGAAACCAAGAGCAATGTAGTACAGAAAAGTTAACAGAAGAAAAGGAAAACCTACAACAAAATTGTGACAGTGAGAAATCTCTTTCTATTAAGATGAGATGCCTCAATGCGTTCAAGCGTTTATTTATAACGAGAAGTGGTGGTGTTGGTGGAAGAAAAAAAACATTTATCGAGGTGTTCCTTTTTGGTTCAAGTTCACGCCCCTATTTAGGCGGTAAATGTTAACGTAAGAGTAATCAATAGCGTTAGTCAATAATGAACCAAGTTGACAAATATCACAGTGATACCTGGGAGGCTTTGCGGTTTCTCCCTTCCATGTAGAGGGAAAACTTGTCGTCTCTCCAAGCATTCGTGATCACCTCGGGCACCGAAATGACTTTTCTCTTCACCTCAAGTTGTGGTCTTGTCCAGTAGTGATCAATCAGAACATTCGTAAAATCGGCCTACTCGATCGAATCGAGCAATCTGTCGGCGAATCCAAGAGTTGCGTTAGTGATCCCTACCGTTTTGGGCGTTTTGCACAAATCGTTGTCTGTTCCTGCTTCGCGTCGCAGTCCTTGTGATTGGTCCAGCTTAACTGTGACAATATCAGTGAGCATATTCGTGTGATACAATTTGGCCACAATTTTTTTAGGTTGGTGGGGGGTTATAATCGGTACTTTCAGGTATCCAAAACCTGACCCGGGAAGAACGTTGTGTGTGTGAACGATATCGATCCGTTTAATCATACGCCCTTCACACGAGGTTCACACCTGCAGGTCTTCCAATACACCCAATGGAGCCAGTGCATATTGTGACCAAAGCGTATTAGTGCTAGTCTATGCATCTCCTCTGGGGAGGTTTATAATCATGGCTTTCCAGTTTCCTGAATGAGCTAGTTCTTGACTCACGAACTAGACTGTAATCCCGGATGCTAACCTTTAACAATCGCTCTCTCGCTTCAGAAGAAACGCCGTAGAGTAAACAGTGCTTTCTCCCGTCTGTTTCTCAAATCTTGATCCTGTCCTCCTCAAATAGCTTTGAAGGCCCACACCGGTTTCATCATTCCTCGATACCATACAACGGGGAGCCACCGAATTCCTGTCTGTGTAACAGTATCGGTAGAGCGTGCAGTGATTGTGCTCACTACCTAAATGATCTTTGCCAGTATACCTGTCAGTTCAGTTTTCATTCAATTTATTTTCAAATCCCTCCACCCCCACCCCCCGGAACTAACGTCGTCTATCAGAGTATCGAAAAACTGGGCGATCCGATTCTCACCTTACGTGTCTTACTCAACACCATCGAATACGATGCAACTGCAACTCAACCGGCCACTGTGGATTCCGTGAGAGGACAGCTTTCGGTTCTCGTGATTTTCCCCAGCTGTGTACTCCTACTCGCCCGTAACAAACAGATGGATGTGTACGAGTTCACGGTCAGTCCCTTGTGTGTGTGTGTGTGTGTGTGTATGTGCAAACCTTTCTGTGCACTTGTGTATACTTGAATTTAACTGCAGATGGATTGGTCGAGGAGGACCAAAGGAATGGCCTCCAAGGTCACCTAATTTGTCCCCCTTGGATTTCTTTCTGTGGGGATATCAGAAGCGAACGGTTCAATCCCAAAAACCGTGAACTATCGAGGAACTTAAACAAAGCATTGTGGCGCAGTGCGAAAGTATTCCAACTGCTACCATTCTGAAGATGGAAGAAAACTATCTTCACCGGATTTTGTTACGCAAGCAGCAGAATGGAAAACATATGGAACATCTTTTGTGATATGAATATAATTATTCTCGTAATATTTGTTCTTTCTTTCTTTCGGAATTCTATCTCCGAGGTAGTCAGCGAGATCGTTCAACGCAAAAACAACGAATTGGAAAAAAGTCAAGAAGAGTTTTGCGTGGGCCTACATTAGGGGATATTGTGGTCCGTTTAGCTGAGATCACGTTCACACTGATAAGGGAGCCCACAGTAGGATAAGACAAGGGTTGCCATTGTGCATTTGGCCAATCGCGTTCGCCCTAATTTCTTAAGCGGGGTATTTTTTTTACACACCTTTGTGTGGTGAATAGTAGACGGGGCGAACCCCATAGTCATGAAGATCTGCTGTTCCGTCATGGAAACCGGTAACCTAAGCCCCGCGGGACTTGGATTTGTGAATCACACAAAGCCCCGCTGGGTTAGGCGTGGTATTGAACCGGACGACAGCAAAGCTGTGTACCACCAATGTAAAATTTCTGGATCACTCTTCTCGAAGTCAAAGTGTTCGGGAGAAACTCGAACCCGGCGACATATGCGGCGGTGAATCACCGTATCACTGAGCCACGCGAGACATACTGATAGCGTGGAGACCAGGTACTGAAGATTGCCCCCAGTGTCGTAGGTAACTCCCATTATCCATACAGGCTTTAAGAGAGTGTAAATACTTTATTGGAGATATTAGAGGACATGACAGCTGGTGGACAGTGGCGCTCTTGTTCACATTTCTTACATGTACAAAATGATTGAAAAGCTGTACTAGTGCAACTATCCTATGCCCTCTGCGTATTGCTCGTAGTGGTGCACTTCATTTTCCCCATCCCCCAACAGACACATTCATTATCTGCCTTATATTATTATTATTATTGTTATTGCTATTACTTAGCAGCGGTCAGCGAGATTCGCTTTGCTGAATTAAGCTTAACGAGAATGATGTTGGTTGGACGTGATGAACTATCCAGTCGTTACAGTGAATCAAAGAGCCCGGCATCGTCACTGACAACGTACGATTTGGCTCCGCCATCTCCAGAACACGAACTATACCAATCTCTGCAATCGGTCACCGAAGTCGGCTACGTATCTGGAGTCATGTGAACCCCGTTCCTGCACCAATCTTTGTTAAATCGTGGACTGCACGGACCAATCAATTGCCTCAATCTTTGCAACATCATTTATGTTCCACAGAATTACTCTACTGGTCACCGGGAGACTGGGTACAGCGTGTGATTCTTGATTGGATTCAAAGACATGTTGGTTCCGATCAATCTGTTCAACTTTTTACCATTTGTTTAATCTCGGTGGTAGCATTCGTACTCTGATCTCTGTCATCTATGGATCATATACGTAGAGTGACCGTGACTGGCTACTTTCGTGTATCTATTCAAATTTTCTGCTCATTTGATGACTTCTACTTTCTGTAACCATTTGTTCTAACATCTTCACGTTGAATAATCAACTAGTAGAAATTAATGTTATTTTAATTTAGTGCTCGCTTGTTACATGAGATTTTACTTAAAATATTACCAGGTTTCCCGGTCATGTTTTCTTTAGTCCGTCTTTCCTCGTTGNTATTCAATCTTCCTCTCTCTCTATCTCACCCCTTTCCCCGATTCCGTCCCTGATTGCTTTAAAGAAAAAAGTTCCCCTGAATTGTCTCACGGTGATTGGCTGTTTTGAAACGGAAACCGATATTGATTTGCTCGTGACAGGTGAGTTATTTTCCTTTTCCCTCATCGGGAATTAGTCACATTGTCAGTCGGNGTCGGATGTTTTGTAATAATAAAAATTCACAATGAAATAATGGAATATTAAAAACAGGTTGTATCACATGTGAACACTATTTAATACAGTACTGTATATTCATCTTTCTCATCGTGTAAGGTTGCGATTTCACGGAGAGTTCCAGGAGCGGTAGCGATTTCTGTACGTCAAACCCGAAATTCGCATGCTCGCGTTGATACTCTGACGACAGTTTGTGTTGAACTGGTTGGTCATAATGTGAGAGGAGTGGTGCTGGCGCAATAGTTTATTCACCAGTGTGCTTTGGACCTTGTGGTTCGAGGGTCGAGTCCCGCTACCCCCACCCAACTTTGGAGTTAGGCAGCCTGACTGTCATCCGGTTCCATACCACGCCTAACCTAGCTGGTTCTTATGTGGTTCACCATTCCAAGTCCCGGTGCTCAGGTTACCGGTTTCCATCAACGAACTTGACTATGGGGTCTACATCGTCTACCGTTCATCACACAAAATGTGTAATAAAAAACTGAAGTAAGTCTTATGTAGACCTCTCCTTGTCATATCGAGGACGATAGATCAGTGAATAGGACGATCACTTTGTCGGTGTTTTTTGGTGGGTTTGATGATCGGCAAGTTGGGACAGACCATCGAATTTTATTTAACTCACATGGGACAGTGTTTTCTCCGAAAATCGCGCAACACTTGTTCACTTCAGTATTCTTTTGCCTTGTTTATTTGCGACAAAGTCATCAAATTAAGTCATCCACGATTACCTTATAAGGAGTAGCAACTTCAGAATGTTTCCAATGTGGTTGTAACCTATGGAGGCTGATGCTAAGATGAGCGAGGTGCGATACTCACAAAAGGCTTGCAAGAATGAACTCCACTATATCGTAATAAGCGAAGCAGTTCCATCAACGAGCCGATAATCCAGTGAGTAGCGAATGTGATCGCTCCCCCCAGTGAGGTTCTGGGTTTACAATTTGCAGATTAGACCGCCAGTATCCTAACAGTTACACAATACTTCCAAGCCATTCAGCTCACCTTCTCTTTATCGAGTGTATGATAAAATTTATCACCTAAATGAGTTGTATAGTTCCTGTGTCTGTGTTTTGCACGGACCAGTTCTCGAAAGCAAACGTTTCAAATGAGGTGTTCATTGTATGTCGTCGGTGTCCCGTTGTTCACTGAGCATGACCATTCATTCGCGAGTAATTCCATCAGGTATATTTTCACACATCTGACACTTCCAGACAGTGTTCCAAACAAATCATGGTACAATAGCCTCTATAAAAAGAAAAACCTATGATTTGCATTTGGGCTGAATACTGCCAGGTTGCCCAGGCCAAGGCAGGTGAATTTTCTTGAGGAATCCACAACCGGAATCTTCGGTTAGCCAAAGTCTGACCCGGGAGGCAGCGGGGCGATGTGAAGGCCGCAATCCATTGGAGGCCGGTGTCCATCGGATCATCGGATCATACGCCCTTTGGACGGAGTCAAATGTCCTAAGTGCCCAATACACATCGATGCCTAATTGAGTCGGTGACCATTGCCACAATTGGTAAGGTTTGTCTGTGGTTCGTACGCTTCCTCTTGGTTGGTTTGGAATAGGGGTTTTTGGCCTACTCTCCTAGGTGAACTATCAGTGGTCCACCAACCTCGGTTATGGCCCCGGATGTCGGCCTTCTGTCCTCTCACTGGTGGGAAAACACCACCACGGGAAGGCAGTGAGTAGAGCTTCCTGAGCAGATACTGTTCGATACGCTTAGTCGTATAGGAGCATTTCGCAAGGTGCCGGGGAAGGGTGACCAGCCACAATCATATCACTCAGTGTTTCTAATCGAGGTCCTCATCCAGGGACCGAGTCTCCTGATCATGGATTTCATACCTTCATACCAGGTCTCATTTTGATGACTCGGCTTTCCCCACTCACTTACTGC